CACACAGTCAGACACACACACACAGTCAGACACACATACACAGTCAGACACACACACACAGTCACACACACACACAGTCACACACACACACACAGTCACACACACAATCACTCACACATAACACTTTTTTTTTTTAATTTAATCCCCCCCCCAGCCTCCTTAACCTTTGGGAATGCTGGGGCAGGGATTTCTCTCTTTCTCCCTGGTGGTCCAGTGGCTGCCGGTCGGGCTGATGGGCTGGCTGCTGGGCGGGCGGCTGGCGAGGGAGCTCTTCCTCTGAGCTGACTGCTCAGCTCCCTCGCGCGCCGCAGAGTGAGCTGAGCAGTCAGCTCAGAGGAAGAGCTCCCTCGCCAGCCGCCCGCCTGACCATCAGCCAGTGCCGCCCGCCAGCCCAGCATGTCTGTTAGCCACGAGGCTAACTAGGCATTTGCCCTGGGCATTTGGGGGCGGCGTTTTTTGCCGCCCCCTGAAAAAAGCTGCCCAAGGCAAATGCCTTGTTTGCCTCGTGGCTAGTACGTCCCTGCTCACGACCAACAACACAATCTATATCGACGACATACAAAGGTTCCTATCGGGACTGACCATTCCAAAAGTGAATAGAGAAGAGGCAGCATCGCTGCGGGACCCGATTACACAATCTGAGGTGGAAACGGCTATAGCATCTCTCAAGGGTAACAAAGCCCCAGGGTCAGACGGTTATGACATCAGTTACTACAAGCAATTTAGAGACGTGTTAGCTCCTGACCCTCAGTAATCACTTTATGCAGGGAAGGAAGCCTGATGCAGACATGGCTATGGCAAACGTAATACTCCTACCAAAACCGGACAAGGACGACACATTAGTTACAGGGCAATATCACTCATTAACACTGACCTTAAAATCTTCGACAAAATACTAGCCTCCAGACTCACACCCTCCCTTCCAAGCCTGATCCACCCTGACCAGGTTGGCTTCATACCCGGACGACAACTATATGAAAACACCAGACGGGGGGTAGACATTTTATGGTACATGGTGAAGTCCAAGATGCCTTCTCTGGCATTCTCTTTAGATGCAGAGAAGGCGTTCGAGATGGTACTGGGGCCTTACCTGTTCAACTTACTCAATTTCCAGGGGTTCCCTGAGCCTTTTGTGACAGCAATACGGGTGCTACATACGGACATACATGCACAGACGCTCATAACAGGAGCAAAGAGAACAACGGAACCAAACAGGGGTGTCCCTTGTCCCCCTTACTATTTGCCCTGACACTGGAACCACTCCTATAAGTTATAAGGCAGCACCCGCACATCCAGTGAGTGGAGGTCCTGGACAAACCATTTACAGTGTTCGCCTATGCGGACGATGTCCTTTTAACTCTCAGAAACCCATTGGACTCCCTACACCACTTAACGCTCCTACTGCAGCGGTTTGGGTGTTTAGCGGGCTACAAGGTAAACTTTACCAAATCTATGGCAATGCCCTTTTATTAAGCAGATACTGGCACAAAATAGTAGATTTAAGCTCACAGATCCTACAGAGGAAAATGGCCCCAGACCCGTGGGCATACCTGTTATCACGTCCCACAGAGGGCCTCACCAAACACGAACAAAAGCTCCTCAATATGATTAATCTAGCAGCCCGTAGAGCATTGGCACAGAAGTGGTCATGCCCAGATCTCCCCCAAGTATCCCTGGTTAAAGCAAATCTGAAAGATAATTACCTAATGGACAAACTCACCGCCCAACTCAGGAACACGATGACTACTTTCAATAGGGTATGGGATCTTTGGGAACAATACAATATATAGGGGACTCGTGAGGCGGCATCCACACTAGCAACTAGGAACAGCTGGGATACAATCACACTGACATAGACACACCAGAAGCCCGATGTGCGGCAGCGGCACGAATAACGGAAGGATATCTGGCCAACGCTAAGACTCAGGACACAGGCCACTAAGACTCACAGGAAAGATCGATACGATCCTGGACTTGGCCAACTAAGAGATCACATATCTCTCTTCTTTATTGTTTCTTTTTCCGATGTTCTATCCTTTTTACTATGCTTTCTTCTCACAAGTACTCTAGACTTGTATTCCGGCAAGAGGAGGGGAGTGGCAGAAATCCAGCTAATATATACAAATGGCTACAACTAACTGTCATAAGCTGGTAAAATCTCCATAGAATGACTGATGTAATCATTACCTAATGAAGGAATGTACCATAACCAATACATGTAATACGTGTAATAAATGTCTTCAAGTGGGAATGTAACTAGTCAACGCAGCCAGCTCCTCGAAGTACTGCCACTGTATATAGTTAATGTAGATTGGAAAAACAAGAAAAACCCTGATGAAATTGCAAACAATTGTTGGTCATTGTATGTAAGATGACTACTGTACTAACTACACAACTTTCCTTTCTGCAAGATACCACAACTCTGTCATGGCTTTTGCGTAAGCCTGTCTTGTCATACTATTGCATGTTTATCAGTGCAAAAATAAAGAATAAAAAAAAAAAGAAGATTAAACAAAACACAACATTTTCTCTTCGTGTATACATAGTTTGTGATGCCGTTAGCACATCATATGCTTAAAAGGAGGGAGCACTGCCCTCTGCCGTAACTCAAGGATACTGCAAGGGCCATACTTCCCTGCAGAATTGTTTGATAGATGGCTTATGGATAAGTGCAAATCTAACTCATTTAATATGCCACATGTATACACATACCTGTAATTAATGAGAAAAAGGAAACATTTAGCTGACAAGTCAGAGGGGATATTCATTCAGTCCATGGCTAATGACCTAAAGAAGTCTATCAAGATGCTTGCTTGATAATTTAGTGCAGATGTGGGTTTCAAAGATCCATGTTTTTATGATTGGACTATCTGACTACATAATACGTCAGCCAGAATTAAAAATTAAAAGGTCAGGTGGGGTCACAGGTCATGTGACTTACAGGTAATCAACCACAAGAAAATACAAGGTGTTATAAAGCAGTGAGAATTATGACATTGCATGTGTACAGTAACAAAAATTGGTAAACTTTAAAATAAAATATATTTTAAAAAAAGAATGAAAGAATTAGAAAAAAAAAAGTGGAAATGTGTCCCTAAAGGGACCCAAAGATGGTCACCGCAGCTGGACCATAAGGTACACCAGTATGGCCGCCCTGGGCCAAAAGACCATGGTCGGCATGACTGGAATATTAAATACTGTGTCCCTTGTCTGTTGGTGCGGAATTCACAGCAGTAACAATAGCCTAACCCATCCCTTGTGCTATAGTGTGGACCTCTCTAAAAGTAGAAGGTTTTTGAATCAAGTCAGCATTTTGTTTAAGCTGCTTTGAGGAGAGCTTTTGATCCACTGGGAAGAAAAACCAATGCTGCCAGGACTCTCTTAAACTTAAACAGGGTAACCACTCTCTCATGGATTATGCCCTCCTAGAATTTCATTTTCTAGTGTCAGAGATAGAGTGGAACAACCGTGCATTTGTGGACATGTTCCTTACCAATTTACCCAATACCCTCTTAGATGAGGTAGCAGCTAGGTACCTACCAGAGACATTGGAGGAGCTCATCGTGTATCTTGCTTAGATGAGACTTAGACATAGAATACCAGAGAGAGGCCTAAAAGACTGGCTATCAGATTAGCTCCTACCTTTTCCTCAGAGAGGGATTGTGTATGTATTGTGGCAAGAGGAGACATCTCCGTTTTTCCTGTCCTGAAAGGCCAGAAAATCCCAGAGCCTAAGGTCCCATGGAGGACAGGACTTGGGTGTTCTTAATGAGTCCTCCGTGTTTGTCAATCCAGAAAAAGTGAAGTGAGTTCCACAGGAGCAGTGCAGCCCTCGAGAAGTATTTAAGGAGAGCATCAGAGGTGGGAGTACGGACAGAAGATAGATGTAAGTCTTCAGCAGAGCATAAGGGCCTAGACGGGACATACTTGTGTATTAGGGAGGATAGATAGGTGGGAGCAGCATTATGTAGAGATTTGAAAGCAAGAACCAGAATCTTAAATTGAGCCCTACATCTTACAGGAAACCAATGTAGGGACTTACAGAAGGGCGCAAGTTGGGAGCACGTAAGACCACTGAGAATCGGATTACAGTAGTCAAGGTGAGAAACGACAGTGGAATGGACCAGCACCTTAGTCGCATCTGGTGTTAAGTAGGGTACCAGTAGGGTAAAGCAGTGTTATGGCCTTTCCCCCCATACATTAGTCGAGACTTAATGCTGGGAGAAGAATTGGATTTATTAAGCTCAGCATGGTCATTTATACATGGACCCCCAGCATGAAATCCCTATTCACAGAACAAATGATCCCGCCCTGGTGCCTCTGTGTCTGGAAGATAATTGAGTTGCTACTCGCTAAACTAATTATCTCCTGGATACAGAGAGCACAACACAAAAACACCCCAAATACATAATAAAACATACAGGAACCCTCACACATTATATATCGTCGGATTGCTCTGATCCGAGCGCCCATGTTGGCCAAACAGTGATGACTAAACGCCACCGGGGTAAAGTTTTGAACGACCGCACATGTGGTCCGTGCCCAAAAGAGTTCCATAACAATTCAGGCTTTGGCTGGTCAAATGTCAGGAGCTCCTGCGGATGAAGCAAGGTGCACTCCCCCCGGCTCCCGGGGAACGATTGTAGTCTATAGTCTGAGGCACCTTACTTCCGAAAAGCGCTCTCGTGGTTGCAAGGGAAGTGTGGTAAAACCGGGTTGGAAGTAAATTGAGGTTAGCTGCAGTTGGACCGGTGTTTCAGAAGAGTTGTGCATAAGTCCTGCTGAAGTCTTTGTGGCTTCTGAATTCTGGTTGTAGTTCGAGGAAAGAATGGTTTCAGTGAGTTGGCCTGGAGGGGAAGGTGCTATGAGCCATGTGTAGTGACAATAGTCTTTTTTTGACAATGTGGGAAATAAAACACGTGGCAAGCATG